CTCACTTGCAACTGCAAGAACTCAATTTTAATTGGAAGAAGTCAAAATAGCAAAGACCTAATGGTGATGATGCATGACTCAGATGAAATTATTTTGACGGTTATAATTTCTTAGATGTTTTATCGTATTTTTAGTTGTTGTTTGCGTATGATTTGTTATAACAAATGTTCTTAATGAAGAAAAAAATCACATTTAGAACTTTAAAAAGTGTAGATGATTTGCATACAATTTTTATGTTGTCGAGTTTGTGCGATCCAACTTGTTTGTCAATTTGGCATCTCAAATTGGTCGACGCCCAATGGGGTCTTATTAATTGGAAAGCTTTTGCTCCAGAATGGTGTAAGATGTGGCATAGACGTCACCAACATGTCTTGCAATTTCTTATTTTCATCAACCAGAATAATATGCGACACACGGATCAATATTTTAATTGGTACAAATCGATTAGTAACCCATAAATCCATGTGTCTCATCTGAGGTATTTGATCGACCCACGAACACAATAGGCACAAACCTCAAATTTCGAACAAAAAATCCAACGCACATCAACTTCTCACCAAATACCCCAACGATACAGATCCACAAACACTCAACCACAATCACCACCTCAATATCCATACACCCATACGCCTCACACCCAACCACAGTCATCACCTCAATATCAACCCATATGCCTCACACTTAACCCCAATCTCAATCGCAATATCAATACACCCACATGCCCCACACACAATTCTAGTCTTCTCCACATTTCGATATGGGCCCCTCATCATTTCACCTTATCTCAAATCTAAGCTTTCTTGAATAATGATCCAACCGACCCAACTTACCATCAACCACCACATCACCATAACACCCAACAATTGCAATGCCAAACACCCAAAGATTCATTTCCTTTTTACCCTCTTACTCAGACGACCAGTGCTATAGATCTTCCATGAAACCTCATCCCCCACCAAGACGACCAAACTTTGAGGACATGGCTAACCGACTGTACCAAAACAGATCTTCCAGATATGGTGATCTGACCAATTTTATAGATCCTGAACGCATTGACTTCGCTGGACCATCGATCCAACCGCAACAGAAAAATTGACGAAACCCACCACGAAATAGGTGAGGACGCGAATGCGGAACCACGGATCATCACTGAATTCCGGAGGACAACTAAATAATATGCATGATTTTTTTATTTATTATGTAATCGTTCATTTGTTAATGAAAAATCGAAGTTTCATGAAGTTATGTCGTTTACTTATTATCTTGTATTTAAAATTGAAAACAAAAAAAAAATTACCTCTTAAATACTTAGGCGCCATCTGAGATGACTTAGGACAAATATGTCGACCTAGACGCCATCTCACTAGACACATTCTTTTAAAATTAAAGTGCATGCGTCATCTCACTTGACGTCTCTATTATAATATTTTCTAAAACATGATTATTTACGTAATTTTCTCTGAAATATGATTATTTATATTTATTTTTTTAATACTTGATTATTATTTAAAAAAATCGCAAGATACAACCTGAATTTCTTAATAAATTAAAAATCAAAAACCTTGTTGAATCGAAAACAAAAACTTTTTAACTTACAAACAAATTCATACAACAAATTATCGAAGATGACATGAAAAAATTTAATTTTAGATAGATGAATTGACTCATTAAAATAAAGAATTTTATTTTAGATAGATGAATTTTAACTGAAAAAAAAATAATGATGAATATAAAGAAGATAGAAGGTTGAAGAAGATGAATAATTATTTTTGGTGGTTGAATAAAAAATCATTAAATATAATATTTTATTATTGTATTTTCTTTGATCAATCAATAAATAAAAAAAGTCATCAACAACTACCCAGTTAAAAATCTCAACCGTTGAATATATATAATAATATATCAATAATTAAAAACCTCACTTCTCACTTCTCCATGATAGTCAAAAAGTCATTGGTCCATACTAAATGCCACCCTTTTTTTTTGCTAAATCATCGGTGGGACTAACAGCTCTCACCCTAGGTAGTAGTATCTTTGTAACTATTATTCATGGATATGACTTATACTTAATGGACAAGTGCTGATGCAACTCGTTTGCTGACTAATAACGAAAATTATGAAACACAACAAATATACAATAGAAATTAACACTCTATGAACAAATTATAATCTAAGGTATTGAAAAGGACAAATAAAATCAGATTAACCGATAACAGACACTTTATTAAATAACCAACTAATTAACCAATAAAGATCACTTGATTAAATAACCAACTTAGTTTCAGCTAAGATGACAATATACACAGCATTAGCAGCAAACATAAACTTAAAAAACAAATGGAATAAAAGGTAATTGAAGAGCCAATACTGCTTCATCTGAAATACTGCTACATTCAGAACTACAACGCGTGCATAAAGTTGCTTGTTCAAATCATCTGAAATACTCTGCTTCCACAAGCCTTTTTGATAATTAAGTCTAAGCTGGATTAGCTCAGCAGTAACCAGAGCAAGTCGCACTTCACATTATATTTACAGGAGGACCAAATACTTCCTTTTCACAAACCTTTTGATTAAAAAGTTAAAACTTTATCAGTTCAACAGTAGTCACAGTAAAATAGTCAGAAACATAGTGAAGAGCCAGAATGACCTAAATGAAGATCCGGATATCTTTCAAAAAAAAATGCATCGAACTAAAATGTACAGCTTAGTAAGCTTTTGATTTGTCAAGATGAGATTCTACATCAATATCAAGGTTACATATGCTAGCATTACAAAAAAAATTGACAGTTAAAAATCATGTGTTTACTAAGGTATGATGCAAGGTTAGCAGAGTGTATCACCCAATTATTTTGAAATCAGTAGTAGATGTGCCCATATACCCTATCTCAGACCAGTCAATTAAAGTTCAAGAGGGCTCTTAGTGAACAAAAAAACACAATAAATTCAACAAGGATTTAAATCAAGAGATAATGGCACATTATGAATGAGTGATAAATGTGTTATAAACTGAACTAGTGGAAAGAAGAGAGAATAGATCTTGATTAATAACAGAATTCACAGTCAGTTACAATAATGGATAGGGCAGAGCTTATATACTACTCCTATGCTGTGCTGACTCAGCACAGCCATATTACAAAGATACCCTTCCTATGCTACTCATGTATATACTCTAATAGCTCCCCTAGAAACTCAGGTCACCCCTGATCTATGGAGGTCCTGTCAAGAACCTGCAATTTGCTCCTTAGCTGTAAGAACTTGAGAGGGGAGAGAGGCTTAGTACGGAGATCTGCATACTGATCAAAAGCAGGAATATGTTTCACAACCAAACTCTTGCTCAACACCTTTTCCCTTAGGAAAAATATATCTAGTTCAATATGTTTAATCCTAGCGTGCAGAATAGGGTTGTGAGATAAAGCCACAGTACTCAGATTATCACAGAGAAGAACAGGGGTGGTGAAGGGTATCCTTAGCTCAGTAAGGAGTGACTGAATCCATAGGACTTCTGAAGCAGAATTAGCAAGGCTCCTGTACTCAGCTTTTGTGCTGGACCTGGCCACCAAGGTCTGCTTTTTGGACCACCAAGAAACAAGGTTCGGACCAAGAAAGTTGCAGGAGCCAGATGTAGATTTCCTGTAATCAGGATCTGCACCCCAATCAGCATCAGAAAATGCTGTAATAGAGAGTGGAACTTGGGTGTTAGCCCCTTGAAGGTGCAGACCATGATAAAGTGACCCTTTAAGGTACCTAAGAATTCTTTCTACAGCAGTCCAGTGACTTTCCAGAGGATTAGACAGAAATTGACAGGCTTTGTTAACAGCATAGCTGATTTCAGGTCTAGTGATGGTGGCATACTGCAGTGCCCCAACAATAGACCTATAAAAAGTAGGATCCTGCAGTACATCTGTGCCAAGTTTGGTGAGCTTAAGGCTTGAAATCATAGGGGTGGGAACTCCATTAGCTTCACTGAGATTGGCTTTAGCAAGCAGATCTTTTAAGCATTTTGTTTGGGAAAGAGAGAGATCCATCCTTAAAATGGGAGACTTCAATACCCAGAAAATACTTCAGTGCTCCTACCTGTTTGAGGGCAAACTGAGAGTGCAGTTTAGTGACCAGATCTTGAATGTGCACAGCAGAATTTCCAGTGACAATGATGACATCAACATAGGAGCCGCCCATAGATAGCCTTGTTCAGTTTCTCACACCAGGCTCTAGGAGCCTGTTTAAGCCCATAGATAGCCTTGTTCAGTTTACACACTGAGCAAGCATTACATTACCAATGGTCTCAAACCCAGGAGGCTGCTGCATATATACTTCCTCCTCAAGTGTGCCATTTAGAAAGGCATTATTCACATCCAATTGTGTTATATGCCATTTCTTAGATATAGCAATAGTGAGCACAATTCGAACTGTGACAGGCTTGACAACAGGAGAGAAAGTTTCAGTAAAATCAAAGCCATGTTGTTGATGGAAACCCTTAGCCACCAGCCTGGCTTTATACTACTTGTTCAGGGTCCCATCAGGATTTTGCTTGACCCTAAAGACCCACTTGTTCCCTATGGCCTGCCTATGAGGAGGTAAAACTGTCAGTGTCCAGGTATTGTTATTCATGAGAGCCTGATATTCATCAGTCATAGCTGCTTTCCACTTGGGATCTTTTAAGGCAGATTTATGAGATGTAGGTTCCAGCTCAGTTAGAAGCAAAGTGGGATGTTTCCTAGGTTGTACTAATGCCATTTTTCCTCTTAGTAGTCATGGAATGAACATTGTTAGGATGTAAGGGGGGTAAAGGAGAGGTACCATCTGATGAGGCAGAATCAGTAGAAGAATTGAAAGCAGAAGCATATGGTGACTGTGAGGACTGATGGTGGGAGCTGGAACTGGAACTGTTAGTGGCATTCCTGATGCCCTGAGGAGCAGATATGGGAATGGGACTGCTAAGTTGAGGTGCATCAGTACGGATGGAAGCAGAAGGAGAAGTATTGTTGGTGCCCTGATGAGTATTAGATGGTGATGAAGCCTGAGAAACAGCCATAGGGAAAGGGTGATGGCAGGACGGAGGAAGGAACAGATGTAGAACCAGCAGCTACTGATTTGGCACAATGAGTAATAACAGAATTCAGTTTGTTACAATAATGGATAGGGCAGAGTTTATATACTACTTCTATGCTGTGCTGACTAAGCACAGCCATATTACAAAAGATACCCTTTCTATGCTACTAATGTATATACTCTAATAAAATGAATAACAAAGAAGAGTGAGAGTGGGGTGCCCGGTGACAGACCCAATAGAAGAGCAAAGGACAGTAAAACCCTGAAGAAACATTGTGGATCGTGTAGAATAAGAGGGAAAAAAACTATGGGATTTTACCGTCACAAGACAGGACCATTTATCAATACAAGATAGCGGAACAGAGCGGCCGACCCCAAAAATAGGATGGCGGATAGCAGGACAACCGCTGGTTGACAATTGGACTAATTATATGAATAATCTATAAAAGATTTATTAAAAGTAAAACTAAACAACCAACACAAAACCCATAAAAGACTCACTAAATTTATGAAATTACTATTTAGTAAAAAAAATAAAACCCATGAGAAACAAAATAAATAAAACAAGGGAAGAAGACTTTAAAAAACTGGGGAAGAAGAGTTTAAAAAAAAGGAAGACTAAAAAGAAAAGAAAGAAGAAAAAAGAGAGGAAATAATGAAGAGGAAAGAATGAAGAACAGAGGAGAAAGAAAAACTACATGAGAAACGCAAATACGGAGGGGCAGAACAGGGGCGGCGGCACTGAGAAACGAAGCAGACGGCGGCGGCGCTGAGACATGAATGAAACAGACGGCGGCTGCGCTGAGAAACGAAACAGATGGCGGCTGCGCTGAGAAACAAAACAGATGGCGGCTGCGCTGAGAAACAAAACAGATGGCGGCTGCGCTGAGAAACAAAACAGATGGCGGTTGCGCTGAGAAACAAAGCAGACAAAGTAGGTGAAGCTTGAAAGATGATTGTGAGAAGAAAACTCGAAAGCTGAGTCGAAAGCGTGTGAGACAAGAAAATTGAAGATTGGCTATCTGTTTTGTGTTGAGTTAGGGCAAGGTGGAAAAAATTCCTCAAAACTCCTTCAACGTTCATTTATTTTAGGGGTAAATCTGGGTTTTCGCCTCAAAAATGAGGAAGCCCACTCAGGCCAGGTAGCGCTCCGCTGCCACGACTCCGCTAAACCTTAAACCGCGGCCGCGGTCTCAAATTGAGGCGCGAACTGCACCTCCATAGCAGAGGATCACCGCTCCAGGACGCTATCCCAGGATAGCGACGCTCGAGGGCGCTATTGATAACTCTGGACAGGACATATTGGCACAATTAACGACCCCAGAATAAACACATAATGTAACATCCTGGCAGAACTTGCTTTTCAACTGGATAGAGTATTCAAGTCACATTAAGATAATCCATATCCACATGGTGTGCAAATAAATAAAATAGACTACCATTATCTGAATAATGCATAAGAAGATCATCCATTTGAGGGTTGTTTCTGCGGCTTTTAAGCAAGTTCATGTTCTGGCCATGATTGACAAGTGTGAGTTCTAAGCACACCTGAGATATCCAATATTATTGGAAAGCACATAAACAATCATAACAAACAAAGGTCAGAAATTTCTTATCTCTGAAATAATTTATTGGTAGAGGTCACCAATTAATTTGCAGAGAGAAGAGGGCAAACCTAGCATCATATTTAGCCATTGGAAGCAAGGCATGCAAGCCTCCTATTCTGGCCCTGGAAAATGATTTTGATTCATCAATAAAAATCAATAATCAAATAGTAGGTAAAAAACCATATAAGAAAAATAACAGTAAATAAAGTTTACTGAGATTAAGCAAAATTTTAGATTTCATACTTCAATAACTATATACATGAAGCTGTTCATCATTGCTTGGCAATTAAATGATTTACATAGCATGAGAAAGTTGTAGTTGAATAAACAATCACATGAAACTCTCATAGCTTTTCGAAGGTGTGGAAGCTCTCACCTTATATATTACTGAGAGAAAAAAAGACAACAAATAAGATCCGAAAATTGAAAATAAATAAATAAACAAAAGATAAATAAAATAAAAAGCAATGTAACTTGACAATTGATTTTTTCATAGAGTGTGACATCATAATTTCTATAACAGAATGAATAGGAGAAAATGATGAATCAGAAATTTTTTATCTGGTTCAGAACCTAATAATGCTGTACATGGTGTTCAAAAAAGAAAGAATGTATGAAATCTCCCCTATGTTAACATTTAAAAATTCTGAACACCGGAAACTAAGTTCTTTATCCCTATCAAATGTTCATCGTTTGAGATATTGAGTGAAATACGAAGATTAGTCAATACGTCTTCTTTTTCCCAACTTAAAGGACCGGAAGCATACATTGCCTCTAAGGTACAGTGATAAGCATTCAACTCTAACCTATGGATTTTTTCAGCTACAGCCTCTTTTGGGATAAAGGTGCATCCTACATCCACATCTTCAACATCTAGAGAACCTGTGTCACTGCAAATGGTATTGTCATCACTTTGGCAAGGATTTGCCAACATATCACCATAAAATCCGTCAACATCTTCAACATCTGGAAATTCTGGATTACTGCAAAGGGAATCTGCATCATCTTGGAAAGGACCTGCTAACGTATCACCAAAAAATTCATTCGCACTACCACTTATTACACTACAGCTGCCAACTGAACTCACATTACTACAAGAATAATCCTGTTCTACAATGGTTTTAACATTACAAGGATTCTTCTTCCCTATTCCATATAATTGATTGGTACTATTTGTGAAGGAATAATGCACGTATTTTTCACCCATATTATTCTGCGGGTAAGAAATAGCATCTACCTTTTCCATCAATGGAGCAGTGGATACTGCTTTGAATCTTTTAGACTCACCCATAATCACACCAGTCCTCCTTTTTCTGGGATAATCCTCATTATGAGATGAGCCATGAGAGCACGCTCTTTTCAAAGTTGAAGGTGAGGGTAGATGGAGACAGCTGTCATCCAATCCTAGTGAACAAACATTGTTAGCTTGCTGAACATCAGGCATCACCTTATAGTTGTTTGAAATCAAATTCCGGCTAAACTTCATCACTCTAGACTTGGCTGGTACCTGGGACAAACACAAGAAAATAAATTAAGAAAAAGGCCTGGCAAAATTTTCGAAGTAATGATGGGAGATGAAAATTAGCACAATTCCCAAGAATTAACTATGCTAATTTGAAGCAATTTACACAAATAAGATAAATTGTACCACTAAGAACTGCCAAAAAATTGAGAATGCGTGCTAGTTTGAATTTAATATTTGAAATAGAAAAACTTGATAAGCAACAAAAATTACCTTCGGACTAATGATCCAATGACCATTTTCCCACGATTGGCACATCCTCATGTGAATTTCTGGGACCTTCAGCTCCGTGCAAGATCCGTGCAACGCTACCAAGTACCATTCTCCAGTCATGCACTTCAGTACAGTAGCTTTTTTCCAGCATCCGTCATTCCAGACCTCCACGGCATCATTAACTTTCCAACCCTCAATATTTTTCATAGCAGGGGGGCATGGTCTGATGGCCTTCCTTGGAACCCTCCTCGAAAGAGCCTTATCGTTTGCACTAGAATGGTCATACTTAACATTATAAGTGTGCCCATTACCAGAAGTAATACGGGCACCATGCCATTCTACTTCAAGTCTGGAGGTATTGACAAGGATCTCCACTTTACTTCCTTTTATTAACCTCATGGTGAAAACTTCAATTCAATCTCAAATCTGTCACGTTGATAAATAAATGTTAAATGTTATTGCCACACACAGCTCTCAATTATATTCAAGACAATTTCAAGGACATTCATCTATCAATAGGAAAAGAATCATAGTTTGTCAAACTATTAATTAGTATGGAATGAATTCTTTGAATAATAATCTCCGTAAAGTCAAATCTGCAATTACTACAACTACAAAAATAAATAGACTATGCCGACAACAAAATCGAAAGAAAAAAAACACGCATAAAGGATATTTCATCGCTTAATCATCGCCGCGGTAAATTAGGATGTTACATTCTCAAGCGTAAATTTTCCAGATAGCATTGAATCTACCGTTATTTGAAAAATAATAACTAGAGATTCAAAGTAGATACAAAAATTCAAAAAAAAAAAAAAAAGATTAACAGATAACAGATCGTGAAAAGCGATAGAACAAAATCAAAATCATAAAAGAAAAAACCTAGAATCAAACAGATAAAACGATTACTGAACGAAAAAACATGAATCGAAGCAATTGAATTCAAAAAAAGTTGAAAGAAGATTGATGCTACTAACCTTCGTCGACGTTTGTGGTTGAAGAAATTCGATAACCGTTGAATGAGACGCTTTGGTGCGAGTGTTTTTCACTATTCCGATGAGAACGAGTATTGAATGAACGAGCGAATTAGGGTTTGCGAAACTCGGAAATTGATTTATGTAACAGAAATCAGCCTTATGTTATGCGCTTGCTTCGAGAGGAAACAAATAAAAAAGATATTTATATGTAAATTATTATAAATGAAATATGATAACTTGTTGTGCGGAAGAAGTTTGGATTAACAACAACTCCTTGTGGGTCCTCTTTGGTGTGATTCAGGCCGTTTATTTGAATTTGTTTAAGGAATTTAAGAGAGAAATTAACCTATCACCTCTTATTATATCAAAAATTTTAAAAATTTTGGTTCTGTATTGAAAATTTCACGCAAATATCGAAATTTCGTTAAATTTCAAAGTTTTTACCGTATCGGATATTTTAAATTTTCGGTGTTTTTCAGCATTAAGATAACAAATCGGAAATTTAAAATGTCTGGTGTATGAAAAATATCAGAAATTTCAAAATTTTCGGTATTTTTTTTATTCTAAATACAAATCAAAATTTTGAAATTTCTGATATATAAAAAATTCCAGAAATTTCAAATTTCTGATAATATTGAGACTTAAATTTTTTTCTGTTTATTTAAACACTATTACTTGAATAAAATACATTGTGAATTAGCAAAGTGACTAAATATATAAATAGAATAATTGACATACATAGTTACATTAAAAAAAAACTACAATCACGGCTTACCCAATTCTTCCTAATGCCTAAAGTGACCCGCATATGCTGATTCTAATGATTTTCGTTGACAAAATCCACAGCAATGATTGTATGTCGACTCGTGTATGGGGTGGAGCTATGAGAAGTGGAAAAATATTATGTTAAGTCTCATGGAAAGGGAAATAAACACGACACTATATCTAGAAGAAATAGGGTAACCCATATCAGAAATCGACATCCATTTATCTCTACCCTGCACACCTAAGTGGGTGACTTGTAACAAAGTTTTAACCTCTGAGACAGTGTTATAGAACAACTTGGAAAACAAGTCAGCATGTTGATGAACTTGAGTATCCAACTGCTTCTGAACCAAATAACATGCTTCTTGCCCCCATCCTAATAAAGATGAAATGCAACGGTAACCACAATTTCCATCATTCTCAATATCAATTATGTCATCGGTGTTTGGATGAAAGAAAGCAGAAAACGGTGACAAATACTCAACTCTTGAAGATTTAGTAGAAGATTGCTTGCCAATCGACATGGTCAATGATTAACTTCCAATTGATTTTGTACATGATCTCTTTATAGTCTGACTCCCTTGCGAAAGTGCATCATATTCCCACTGGCTAGGATCACGATGCACATCGCTCTCTTCACCATTCCCACTCTTCTTAACTCCCCTCTTTGGCTTGTATTTCACCGGTGGTGGACACATTGAAGTTGTGGATGGATAGGTTAGATCACAAACTTTTTTCTTCAACATCCTCTGACCCACAATATCTAAAGTACTGAAATATCTCTTCAACTCTTCACTCTTCTTCTAAGTCCCACTTACTCTCACCAGGACTCACATCATGTTCTGTAATGTGTAATTTCGTCCAAAATACATGAATTGATTCTAAAGGTATATGGGTCCTAGAATTTGGAAACCGACAAGTTGACATGCACATGGTAACCCATGTGTTATCCTAATGTAACAACCACACATGTCCTTGCTTGCACCAATAAATTTTACTCTTTCTAGTTCCTTTCCAATGAGTTGTATACATTGTCTTGAGACAAAACTGTGCAATTTAGAATAGAATAGGGTGTTATACCTATGCTCAATGTTGACGATACTTTTTTGAAATGACACTCTGATGGAACCTAATTGCAACTTCAATATTGTATTCACGGCATCCCAACTTCCACATAAATCACCACAGCTTGTAGTCAACATGTTCTTTAGTCTCAAATGTGCAGACTCCACCTTAAAAATCATGAACATATTATCTAAACAACTTTCAAATTAATATATAAACATAGACATATTTTCATATTAATCCAAGATACTTGTTTGTTGTTGTGTTCCCTAAGTTTAAAATGCACATTCATTAACCAACTCATTCAACATGTTTTAGGATGGTATAAGTAAAATTCTTACATGTTTGTCTTGTATGTGCAATCAAAATTAACACCAGAGGAAATATATTCAACAACTTCACAGAGTTAGAGTATGTCCAGAAGATATCAGCCACAATATATGAATTATCGTTGTTTTTAGTCCAAACATGTATTTCTCTTGATGAGTAAGGCTCAATAGCATTTGCATTTCTGTTATTGCACATCTCTTGTGTAACACCCTATTTCCCGTTGATAAATTATATAAAAATCATAGTGACTTAATTTCTAAAATACAACATCAAAATAGGATGCCACATGCTTCATACATCATACATGCTCGTTAAATAAGATACGCAACACAATTCATATGTTCAAAAGTCTTAAACTTTCTTTCATTTATTCGCAATGGAAAACATCAATAAAGAATCATCTCAATTCTCCAATCAGAGTTATAATTATCATCTTTCAAAATTTAGCATAGTCATAAATTAAACTCAAACAATGGAGTAGTGCAAAGTTCACTCTCAATGAAATAAAACAAACTTGGAACCCCCAAGTGTTACGTATCAGAGCAGACATTGACTCAATATATGCAAAACTGAAGGAACTCTTCAGCTAACTTCGACCTCAAGCTACTTTGGATCATCTGCACGTTATCCATGTAGAGGCAACATTCAAACAGAAAGGGTGAGATATCATAACAATATAAGATGAAGTATAATAATGAGCAAATAATAATTCAAGTACACATCATTATACATCTTTACCTCATACCTTTTCGTCAGTCATCATACTATAACGTACATCAATATAATTAAATGCATGAACAACATAATATTCGTCATAACAAAATAAGAGACCCATTCAATGTACAGACAATCAATCATTAACGACCATGTAATACAGTGAAACTGACACCGACTCAATGCATGTGGTACCAACAGGGAAAAACTCTCATCTTAATAATGCCAACTTGGGGGAACAATGCCAATACAAGTCATATTTTGCCAATACATGCCATATTTAATGAATGCACGTGGCACTGATATGAAATAACACAATTTTACATTGATTGCTCTTACTCATCAATGTCACGCTAATACAAACCACCATCATCATCACACATATCATGTCACACAATCAAAATATTCATATAATGTCATCTTAACCATTCACAACATAATTTATAACATATTAATTGGAATACACACAAATAGGTATCAATATCGGTGAAATAATTAGCTACTGAGTTATAATTAGAAAATGATTTTAGCTTCCCAACGGTCCAAACGACGCATTAAACGGACACCCGAGGCGAAAGTTGAGGAGTTTTTAATTTTTCAAAATTCTGTCTAACATAGTGGTAACCGGTTACTGCCATACCAGTAACCGGTTACTGAATGAAACAATAGTGAATTACACAAAACCCTCCAGCGGTAACCGGTTACTGCATTACAATAAATGGTTACTACGCAAATCAATATATTTGTTTTTCAAAAACCTGTCAGCGCTAAACAGTTACTGCATTACGGTAACCAGTTTAGCATATACCAATTTAGCAATCCTATATATTGGTCATACTGTAGCAATCCTATTATACCAATTTAGCATATACTGTAACAAATTGATAGAATATGACTATTGCTTCAACCATATTGGTCATACTATAGTGATCCTATTATACTAAAATGTCTCACTAACACAGCTATCGCTTCAACCCTATCGGTCTACGTTGTACAGTCTCCATGATCTATTGTTGTTTACCTAAAAAGATGCCCCCGAATCCGGGTGTAGGATCTATAGTAACAACCCAAATAATCCTTCAAGGATAAAGCATACAAAACACAAAAAGCATCTTAATAATGAACTAACTCTAAGGTAAACCCCCATTTTTATTTTTTCCCAGCAGAGTCGCCAGTTTTGTGATACGATGGCAGAACTGACTGTTATATATTGGTTTTGCATTTTGTGTTTGCAAATGTTGCGGTAAACAAGAGTTGCCACCAACTTTTCTTTTATCCAAATTAAGGAAAGGGTGAAAAGAACAGAAAAAGACCTTTTCGATATTATTCTGAGTAAGGGGTAGATTATGGAAAGGGAAGGTGTTAGCACCCTTTCCATCTGTAGTTATCTACGGGCTCTTAGAGGTTTGCTCATTTTTGAAATACTTTTGTGCTTTGTATGTTTGGAAATGTTTGGAAAATGCCTTAGTGTGGCGATTTGCTTTGCGTTTAACTCTTGTATCAGTCCTCAAAAGTGTTAACAAAGCAAATGTTTTTGAAAATATGTTTTTTGAAAAGTAGTATTTGTGTAAATGCAAAATGTTTTGAGCAGACTTCTAACAGCTATCTACTTTTGTTCTCGAAAAGGTAGTTATTTTCCTCCTATCCTTTAGATAATGCTATCTACTATTAGTGAGTAGGTAACCCTATCGTTGGATGAATAAGGGACATTTGAAGGGACGTTATAGTCACGAAGGCAACTTGTGGAGACGCTTTAGCAATTTTGTTTAGGGACTATATCATTTACCGAGAGGCAACTGTAGGATTATCGAGGGACTATGATCTTTTGATTTTATGGGTCTTTATTAAAGCGTCTCCGTTTCGAGGGACGTGATTGCTTTATTTCCGAAGGCAACCAAAGTGGGGTACCCTAGAAATGTATATGTGCAATGTGCGTTATATTCAGTTATTTTTATCTTTTGTGTTAGGTTTGCTAACATTTTAATTTCAGTCTTCCATACATACCTAATTACTAGCAGTAAATATGTACATAATATAAAGTGCAGAAGGTAAAAACCTAGACTATTACATGGCTTCGGGGAGGGGGATTTATAATGTACAAGAATTGGGGGGAAGAAAAATAAAGAAAGTGGATAAAAGCCTATTAACTATTACATCCAATGTACAAATATAATAAAAAAATATGAAGGAAAATAAATAACGCGCGAAAATTAAAAGTACGTCTAAAACCTAAAGTGATTCTAAGTAAATAAGACAAACTTTTTGTTGTTTTTGATTTTTGATTTAAGAAAACAATGAAAATTTCCCTAAAACCTATTTAGAAAATAAAGTTAATTTTAAGAAAATAGTTTAAGTTTTTTTTATTTTTTTTTATTATAAAAAGAAAATAATTTAAACATATAAATTAAACCCAATTCTATTTTATTTTAAATTAAGAAAAGGTTAGAGTTTAATTAATTAATCAATTAAAGAAATTAATTATTTAATTAAGGAAAAAAATAGTCCTAGGTTTTTTTTGTGATTTTTTTAGTATTTGATTAATGATAAACAAAGTAAAAGAAATAAATAATAAAACAAAAATAAAGAAAAATTAAATGGACCAGGATAGCAAAATTAAATGGGGGGTGTTGATTTGAAAAACGCTAGGCCTAAGGGTGAGGGAACCCAAAGGATGTATTAGGATCCAGTGAAGAGAAGCCTTGAGGGCGCATGGTGAATCTCACATTGAAGCTCTTGGATCTGACTGCATTGACATTGAAAGGTGTAGATCTGATGCTACATGGTGCGCGTATATGACCTGATTGTATTGGATCTACAAAAAGAAAATGGAAAAGGTAATCTGCAAGAGGTAGGGGTCGAGCCCCTGACCTCTCACACATATAACACCTTAACACTCAAGCACTCACCTGTTGGAACGGCTATACATTTGTTAGTATAAGCACAAAGACATGTATATAATGTAGAATAAATGAACATGCTGATTTGGAAAACACGTGTGCTCCAGTAGGGTCCCTCTATTTTGAACGGGTGAATCAAAATATAACGTTTTGACACGCAGGGTCTGGGGAGGTCAAACCATGATCCTAGCTTGAACTAAAACATCTCCATCCCTGAAAACGAAAACCTTCATGTTTCGATCCTCTAACCATGGTGATCAATGGTTCTGGCATTATTGCTCTCATGAAACACGTTATAAAATCAACAAGCATCATTAATAACATGAATATAAGCTTAAGAAATATTTATATGGCATGATTTGAAAGTTTGAAAGTCACGAAATTTACAAATAAGTGAGGTTTGATAGGGCACTTATGGGCGTGAGACAGATTGAATGGAAGGTGGTATGTGCTCCTGGGAACCTTGGGATGTTGATAGAGTGCTTAGAAAGATCTGAATCTGGCTAGATCAGAGATTTCGATTTGGACAACTTTAAGAATTTTTCTTTTGCAATTTGGTAGTGTTCTCTCTAGGTTGTATAGGCGTGTAAGCGTGTATTTGGCTTGCAAGCACGCTGCTTATATAGAGTAGAAGGAAGGGGACAAGAATACAATGGTTTAAACAACCTTGATCGTTTCCTTGAAATCCATGAATGAAAATTTGTAACGTTGGCCAAAAACATGGAATCTTGTCCTTTTTTGAAATTTGAATGTAGGTGGACATTTTGGCTCCTTCGAATACCTCTAATTCCTGCCCTTTTATTGGACTTCTTGTATAGCCTTCGAATGGGTCCTTAGAATGGATCATTTGTGTGCCCTTCGAATGGGCCTTTAGTTACCTCATCAAATGAACCATTTGTGTACCTTTCGACTGACTCATGTTCTCATCACCGGGGCTTCTTCGTTTGAACCCATATTCAGCTAGCCCAAATGAAAACTCTTTTTTGGCCAATTAAAGCTTCTTTTTGCATGAATACGCTTGTGCACATTGGTTTGAAACTGGCAGTATGTTGGCTTTTGGGCCAGCAGGCCACTTTGAATATTTTTCTTTCATTTTGGCTAGCAATATCCTTCGTTTTGAACCAATGTGGGTGCTCTCTTAAAGGGAAACCATGCATCATTTGTATACGTCACTTGCCATTCCTTCGAATGGGCCAACAGAGTAAATCCTTCGAATGGAACACCCACGTATGCCCCTTTAAATCCATCAATACATATCTTTCGAATAGGGCAAACATTTGTCCTTCGAATGGACCATGTGCCCTGTCCTTCGAATGCGCCGGCACTAGGTGTCAAAATGTGGAAAACTGTGTGTTGAATATTTTGGAGGTGGAGTCAAAGCTAGCATGATGGGAGCCAATTTCTTGATGAATCGAAGTACATATGAAAGAAAACCACTACTTTATGGGTGCTGGCATGAAGGGAAACCATTGCCTTGCGCATTGGAGGCAAGCCCAGAGGAAGTCATTTTCTTGTGTGTTGAAAGCAAACAGAGGCAAGTTGAAGGGGCCTTGGCCTTGTGGATCGAAGGCAAGTCTGAGGCCT